ATTGCACCAACAAAATCAACGGTGTAGATCATCTCGATTTTGTAAGGAACACTGTTCATGGGTCAGAAGTTTTGTCTCCTAGTAACAGGGGAAAAGAACGGCCTTGATCACACCAACAAAATCAACGGTGTAGATCATCTCGATTTTGTAAGGAACACTATTCATGGGTCAGAAGTTTTGTCTATTAGTAATAGGGAAAAATGGCCTTCATTGCACCAACAAAATCAACGGTGTAGATCATCTTGATTTTGTAAGGAACACTGTTCATGGGTCAGAAGTTTTGCCTCCTAGTAACAAGGGAAAAGAACGGCCTTGATCGCACTAACAAAATTAGCGGTGTAGATCATCTCGATTTATTAAGGAATACTGTTCATAGATCAGAAGTTTTGTCTACTAGTAACAGGGGAAAAGAACGGCCTTGATTGCACCAACAAAATCAACGGTGTAGATCATCTCGATTTTGTAAGGAACACTGTTCATGGGTCAGAAGTTTTGTCTCCTAGTAACAGGAGAAAGAACGGCCTTGATCGTACCGAAAAAATCAACAGTGTAGATCATCTCGATTTTTTAAAGAACGTTGTTCATGGGTCAGAAGTTTTGTCCACTAGTAATAGGCGAAAAGAATGGCCTTGATCGCACCGACAAAATCAACGGTGTAGATCATCTCGATTTTGTAAGGAACATTGTTCATGGGTCAAAAGTTTTGTCTCCTACTAACAGGGGAAAAAAACGACCTTGATCACACTGACAAAATCAACGGTGTAGATTCTCTCGATATAGAAAGATGCACTGTTCATGGGTCTATAAATATACCAATTCCATTTAAAATAATTCATTATCCTACATATTTGTGTTTTGTTTGTTTTGTTATGTGATTTGCTGCATAGCTGGTGTGTTTGTTATTTAGTTTCTGTTAAATTTCGTTTAAATAATGTCTTTCATTTGTCTAGTGTATTACAATGGTACAGTTAACTAAACTGCTGAGGGTTGTTCATTCGTGGGTAATAAGAAAAAATACGTATTAATCGTGGTATTGATGTTGAATATTTAAAGAATAAAATTCATGCGAAGTTAAATCTTAATGCTAATCAAATTATCTCGAAGATAGAATGTAGATATTTGCATTGTTTGGATCCTGTATCATATGAAAGTGGTGATGTATGTGATGATGAAGATCTTGAGTGTATGTTTGATAGCTTTGAGAGTCAATATAAAATGAATATGATTGAATTGTATGCTCATATAGATGTGGTTGCGCCATCTTATTTTTATTGTCTTGATTTAAATGCTACAGTCGAACCAACACAATTAACCTACGACAATGTTGGTCAAAGGTTGAATGAAACTCAGGCAACCACTAGTCGTCATGACTTCGAACAAACAAGATCTCCACCAGCAACTAACATCCCTAATTTACAACCCACAAATGTTCCATTCTCGCCACCAAGAAATCATCCTGACTCAAACATTGATTTTGAGATAAACTTGAGTGACGATGATATCAATCTGGGTCAAGCTGATGAAGTTGACGATTTGAGTTCAGCTGATACAGAGGATGAAGATGTCAATGCAAACAACAATCCATTAGTCGCGAGATCGGAAATTTTCGGGTTGCGACAGGACACACCCTCAAAGTCGGCGTCTGAGAATGTGATGGCTGGCCGAGAGGGTCTCCCCCAGTCCGAGACCGACAATACCGAGCGAGAATATCTCTTCCGTGCTGACGATGTCGGGCCTCCTCCCGCGAATCCCCCCGCTATGGTGTTAAAGTCTCCATGCCCAGCCTGTTGGTGGGTCTCTGAACTCTTCTCCGGGACATCTCTCGGAGGAGATCTCCCTTTATGTCTTCCTCCCCTTGTATCTTGCCCTTCATGTCTGTGCCGTCCATCTGCCGAGCCCTCATCATGCTTACCTGCGATGAATTTTCTCAACCGACCTTCCTTGATAAGACCCTCGATCTGCCTGCCGAGAACGAAGCAATTCTCCGTGGTATGTCCATGGGCGCGGTGAAACTCACACTAGTCGGTCTTGTAAGGGCCTAACTGGCGGCCAGTCGCCGCCGGAAACTCGAATAGTGATGCGCTGTTAACGTCATGGAGTATGTGCATCCTGGGAACGTTGAGTGGGGTGAATTTTTCCGGTTCGTTGCTCCGTGTCCATTCGCCCCTTGGCCGACCACCATAATCCGCCTGCCTGTGATTTCCCTCCTTGGCCTCGTAGTGATTACGTCGCTTATTCCAGTCTGAACGTACCCGTAAAGGCTTGTTGCCTTCCTTATTACTGCTCTCGACCTCTCGGCTTTCAGCTGCTCTTTTAATGATCTAGTTTTCCTCCGTCTTGATGTGGCTTAAGGCGAAAGCCCTGACCTCCGACATCGTTTGACAGTTCGCTTTTTCGAGCGCGATGTTGAAAGCCCCGGACCTTAAACCCTTCTGGAATGCAATGACTGCCATTCTCTCGTCTAACGACGCTATCCTCAGTGCGACCTCGTTGAACCTTTGTAGAAAGTCCTTTAGAGACTCCTCGCGTTGCTGCTTGAGGTCAAACAAATCCGACGTAATCGGCGGTTTCTTCTTGTTAGCGGCGAATTGCGCCATGAAGAGTCGGCTAAAGACGTCGAAGTCAGTGATTGATCGGTCGGGAAGATCACTGAACCAATCAAGCGCTGCCTTCTTGAGCGTGCCCATGAACAACTTGCAGCGGACTTCCATGCCCCCCCACAGATCAACATTTGGGCTCGGAAATCCGTCAGATGCTGACTGGGATCCTGCGTTCCATCAAAGGGCTCGATTTGGGGTATGCGATGATCCCTGGGGATGGCCTCATGCCTCTATGGCTTCTGAGAAAGGCCGAAAATCCCTAGGGACTTCCAACATGACATCCTCCTCCACCGTTCTGGTACTAGCTTCTATTCTGGCCTGCATCTCGTCTGCTCGCCTCCTGATCTCCTCGTTTTCATGCTGGATGGCCTCTTCTCTCTCCCTGGATCGCACATTCTCCTCCCTTAAGCCATTGATCATGGTCATCATCTCCTCCATGGTTGGTGGTTGCGAGTTGTGGTTATTGCCGCCTCTCGCCATGGTAGAGTGTAGGTTTTTTGTGTTTCTTGGGGCGTAGAAAGAGTTTTACCGTAGCCCCACGGTGGGCTAAAAAAAAACTCATTTCATTTCTGTTCCGGCCACAAGGTGTACTAGGGTTTTTTCCTAGGTCAAGCCTCAAAGCCAGAGCATTCAGAAGTGTAATCTGCCTCCTTAGCTCTAGGGTTTTAAGTTTTATAGTTTGTAGTTCGTGGGCCTTCTGGGCCCCGAGAATTTGGGGATTTCGTAACCATTATTATATCAAAGATATTTAACAATCGAGAGGATATCGAGTCGGATGCTGACCGATAAGGTCTCGCCCATAGGGTATACTCGGTCGTTAACTGAGTAGTCTACGGCGGGTGAGAGATGTTGGGAATAAGCCGACAGATGTTATAAGGGGATACCCAGTCGGTCATCGGCCGAGTACATGTAGAAAGGGAGCTGTTCGGTCGAGGTGTGGTCGTCGTATCCCAAACCGAGAAGAATATGTATCGGTCGTTGACCGGAACATTACACTTGCCTTCCAGCCTTGAGCCTATGAGACAAAAAGGCTAAAGTGACTGCCCTTTTTAGACCTCTTCGACCATATGCCGAGGATACGTATCGGTCCTCGACCGAGACCTTACAATTTCTATTCTAATTTCCTCACCTATAACTTATAAGTACTTATAGCATATTTATCTAAATATACCTTACTCACAATTTTAGGAACTACATTTCAACTAATACATCCGAAAGAAACATAGTCGTCTAACCGAGAATGGAAATAACACAAAGAAGAATCAAATAAATTTAAACAATAATGCTATTCTTGCTTAAAATTCTCATACACTTTTTACAGTAACAGAAAATATACAATAAAGGGCATGATGTGACTGAGAGATAAAGAGAAACAACAATTTCTTGAAACAATGCCATGAAAATTTAGTAGAAACATTACTCAATCTTAGATACATGACCCTGATTCCAAAGGCTGAGTAGCTAATTACAGCTATCTCTATCTTCCAGACAAAACAGTTGTAGCAAAGGAGTAGGTAGATGTGCACTCAGCATTGCTTTCTGTTCTTTGACCCGACACAGAGTCCAACCTTGGTATGCTATTACTATCAGTTCCACTATCATTCACACCTAGCAAATCAACAGTAACCATTCTGGTATCAGGTGGAAGCTCCACTCTCACACGCCCTTCAAGCATATCAACCACTTGGGTCATGCTGGGCCTAATTCTGGGCCTCTCTTGCACACACCACAAAGCTACATAAACCATTCTCCTAACCTCACTCTCATCAACACCCCCACATTCCAACAACCTACGATCAACAATTTCCATGAACTTTCCCTCCCTCACTCTCTCATTCACAATCTTGGGAAAGTACTGCCACTTTCTCTTGGACTTGCCCCTTTCATCTTCCACCAAGCACACGTTTTTCCTGCCTCCAACAATCTCCAGGAGAACCATCCCATAACTATATATGTCAGTCTTATCCGAAACACCTTGCTCTAAGAGCCACTCAGGAGCCAAGTACCCTCTTGTTCCTCTAATAGTAGACATAACCTTGTAGCTTTCATCCTTTCCAATAAGCTTTGCAAGGCCAAAATCTGAAACAAGAGCTCTATAATTCTCATCCAAGAGTATATTCTCTGGCTTCACATCAAGGTGCAAGATCCTTGACCTGCAATCATGGTGAAGATAAGCAAGTCCCTTGGCAACATCAACAGCAACTTGGTACCTCAAATTCCACGACAAACACCCACCACGGCGCGTTTGAGATACCCTTTTGGGAAAAATCCAACAATCCAAGGACCCATTTGAGACATATTCATAAACAAGGTACCTAGGTGCTGAAGGAGCATTACAATAGCCATATAGCCTCACAAGGTTCACATGATGCACACTAGCTATGGCTGCAACCTCTGATCTGAACTCCTTCTCCCCTCTTTCCTCTGCATCATTGATCCGTTTCACGGCAACCGAAGTTCCATCGTTGAGAATGCCTTTGAAAACCGAAGCAGAAGCACCTTTTCCAATCAGTGATTGAAACCCATCAGTGGCTTCCTCAAGCTCCTTGTATCTGAACTTAACCGGAACCCCTGCAACTTTCCTCAAGAAACTGTACTCTATGCGAAGTTCTTGGCCTTCAGATTTCATCTCTGACTCCAACACCCTCCTTCTGCGGTTGTGACTTATGCTCACAAATACATAAACGAACACTGCAAGAATCACAGCAACACCAGCACCGAAAAAGAGGAAGAAGGCCTTTGAGAGCTTCAACGTGACACGAGCAACAATTATGAGAATAATCAGTGTAATCACTGATGTAGCAGCGATTATGTTCACTCTCCTTTCCTCCATCAATATTCACTCTTTAAGATGAAATTTGGGAAGCAAAATAGCCTCTATGTTCTTCCACCTTTGTAGAGTTGAGTGATTCAACTTCACCAATTTTGCTTGCTTGTGAGAGCAGAAAAATATGTGTAACTTTCTTTTGAATGGTTACCAAAGACAAGGGGTGACCATTTCCATATTCAAAACATCCCACACTTAAAATATTGATTTGGTTTTACAATATTCAAATAGATTATAAACAACCACGATATTGAAACTCATTGCTGTCTCACTTTCTTTAAGGGCAAATAGATTCCGTGACAGTTGTAAGTTTTTGTCCAAAGAACTCTCATACTTAAACCATGCTTTGGTCAACTATGAACTCCACACTGTTATGGATAGAGGGAAGTCCGGCAGTTTAATTTAACATGTGTATTTCCGTTTTACTCTGTTAGATTTTTATTGGATGTTGTTTTCTTATTAAAAAATAGGGAAAATTGCACTTATTTCCCAATCAGATTGAGTTCTATTTAAATACGATACACCTTCTCTTTATTTTTTATTTTTTAAAATCATTCAATTCCCTTAGAATAAGGTTATTTGTTAAAGGAAAAAAAAAGTTAATTCATATTTATTTCTGGATTACATATAATATTATGTTTTCTTTATGAAAATTTTTATTATTTTTTAATTTTAAAAATAATAATTTATCAATCCATTCTTTAAATTTTTTTTTATAATAGATATATTTTTAAATCACAACATACATGATATTTATAATATAATTTTGAAGTTAAAATTGATTTAAAGATCAAGTTTGACACTTGTGTTACTAATTTATTATCTCTTAACAATATATAAATGAATTTTTTTATAAAAAATTATATCTATTACTTAGATAATTAAATAAGAGATGTTAGTGTTCTTTTAAAAATTACATATTAAAAACTACATAGAAAAATATATCATTTTAAAGTACTTCAATGGAAGTAAGTGCAAAATTTTTCTTTAAAAAAACTAAATAACTTCTAACATTACATCCAGTTTATTTATTTGATCATTTGAGTTTCTGTATAATTATAAATTTCTTAAATAAATTCATTTATATTAGAAGATTTTCATTTTAAGTCCTATTATATTAGACTGTTTTCTAATATATGCAATATAAGTATTTGAAGCATAGTTTTAAAAACCGGACCGGTCATCGAACCGGTTAAGGTACTGGGTCAGTGGGTTAAAAGTTAAATTGGTGGGTCATTAGTTGAACCGCATGACTCGATTTTTATTTATTTTTATTAAAAAAATATTCATATTAAATATATTTTATACTTATAAATTTTAATAAATTCATATCTTATTTTAAATTTCAATTTTTCTATCTTATTTAAAATTATTTTTATTTTTATTTTGTAAAAAAATACATAAAAAATTACATGTTAAACTGTATATTAATACAAATTAAAAATATAAATAATATGTACATATATAATATTGCAATTGATATCACAATATAATATATGTAATATCTACATAGATATTATATTATTAAATATATAATTTAAAATTAATAATATATTATAAAAGTTATTTAAGTTGTATATATTACAAACAAATACATTAAAATAAGTAGTCATTGTTATATTTAATAAGATTCTTTGCTCTTCCATTAAGAGATTCAATTTTTATTATTATTTTTTTGGTTTATGGTCCCTTAAAAAAATTTAAAAAAAAAAGAAAAAAAGTGGTTGAATCGGTTTGACCTACCGGTTCCCCGGTTGAATCGAAAAATTGACCGATTCAATACGGTTTGAAACGGGTCGACTGCATAATCTGTGTTGTCCTTCATTTACTCACGCGTTCAATTTCTATAAATTGTGAATCTTTCTTTCAATTTTTCACTCTTCTCCTATACTCAGTAAACATTTGTTTCATTTCTTTCTCACTAAACATTTGGTTCATTTGGTTGTCACTAAAGATCCATTCATCACCTATTCACTGAATCTTTGATTCTTGTTATAGTAAGTAAGGTTATTTATATTTGTTGATATAATTCATTTATTTAATTTTCTTTTGAATAATTATTGTATTTTTTGTATTATTTTGTAGGTTATAAGTAATTATAATTTTGTTGGTGTTGGAAGAGAGTTACAAGTAAGTATATAAATTTAAATTTATAATAAGTTTTTTAATTTTTTAATTTTACATATATAATTGATGAATTTATATTTTGAAATTATATTATGTTACGTTGTGATATTTTCAAATAATTAGAGGATTTTTAAAAAAAGTAGTTTTTAGAATTAATAGAATATGTTTAAATTTTAGAATTAATAGAATATGTTTAAAATTTATAAATATATTGTGTTACGTTGTAAAAATTTAATAATTTAAATTTAAAAATAATGTGAATTATATTTTAGAATTGAAAAAAGTATGGATATGAATATTATAAATGTTCCTATTTATGTAGAAGATGTGTAACTATTTTCCAATTGTTAAATGTAGTAATTATGTAGTTTAAATTTTTAAATTTAAACAAATAACGTATTTGAACGGTAAAAATCTAGCTATTTGTGTTGAATATATGTATATATGATTAACTTATTTAATTGTTAAAAATAAATTAAATGTAATAATTATATAGTTTAAAATAATTAAAATTTTAAAAATTATGAATTTCATTATTATAAATGTCTGTATTTATGTTTAAGATGTGTATATATGCTATAGTTATTAAATTGTTAAAATTTAAAATTTTAAAAGTAGTAATTATGTAGTTAAAAAAATTTAATAGGAAAAATATGTATTAGAACATTATAAATGTGTCTATTTATGTTCTATATGTATATATATGATTTACTTATTTCATTATTATAAATGTCTTTATATATGTTGAATATGTGTATGTATAATTAATTATTTAAATGTGATAATTTTAAATATTAAATTCAAAAAAACAAAGTATTTGAATATTATAGATGTCCATATTTTTGTTGAAAGTATTTATAAATGACTTAGTTATTTAATTATTAAAATATGAAAATTTTAATTTTAATTAAAATAATAATTAAGTTTAAAGTTAGAACTATTAAAAAAGTATTTATTTGAATATATAAATGTTTATAATTTATTTTAATATGTTTAAATATGATATACTTATATTTAAATTTAATAATTTGGTAGTTTAAATTAAGAAAATGATTAAAAAAGTAAGTATTTGAATATTATAAATTTTGATATTTTTGTTGAATATATGTATATATATATATATATGATTTAATTGTTGTAATTTTAAAACTTATATGTAATAATTGTATAGTTTAAATTAATAAAAAAAAAAGTTTGTATTTTAACATTATAAATGTCCCAATTTATATGTGTATATATTATTTACTTATTTAATTTTTATAATTAAAAATGTTAAATATAATAATGGAATATAATTTTGTTTTATATTTTATCAAAAATGTCTGATAGAGGAATAGATTATGTGCCTGATAGTGACGACGAGGAAAACATTGTTCGGTCGGAGGAAGAAATGACAAATGAGCGATTGTTGTCAACATGGAGAAGGGCTATGGCAGCTCAGCAAGCTGCTGAAGCTAGAGAAGTGGAGCCATTATCTCCATTGTCACCCCCAACATCGAAACTTGGGGATGGCAATGACGAGGAGACATTTAGGTCATGTGACATTGGCCCTCTTATTCCTGGACTTGTTGGTTTGGTCTAAGCTGCCATGAGGAACATGCAATCTGATAATCCCTTACCAATGCAACAGTTGTTGTCTGATATTAACTGAGCTGCGATGATGGTGTTCAACACTAACCTGTGGCGTTATGCAGTTCATTACATGAAATCTAAAGGTTTTTTTTTCATATTTAGTTTCATGTGTGTAAAATTAATTTGATATTTTTTTATGTTTTATTAACAATAGGGCTACCAGAAGTGACGACATTGATTAATATAAACCACAATTTAGAAAGAGTTCCAACAGTTGTTGCTTTTGTGGACTCTATGAGCCCAACTGGAAAAGGAAATTATACTATTAATTTGAAGGTATGCTTAGTGAATTTTTTATACATAAAAATATATTGTTTTGTAATTAATTTAAAATATTTATTTCATGACCCAACTGCAACTATTTTGTCAATCTTACATTACAAAGTTAAGCAGCCCCAACAATATGGGGAAGACATTATTATTGGGTGTGTGTTAGTTTTGAAACAGGTAATATTTGTTGTATAATATTAAATTATATGTTATTTATGTGTTGAATTTAATTTGTTTTTTTTTTCTTCAGGTTGTCGTGTTTGCCCCGAACCGTATCCGTGGTCCTTATTTCTTGAACATAACCAAAAATAATGTACAACAAGTGGGTATAGTCAGTCAAATTTAATTTATTGTGTAACTAATATTGTTTATTAAGAAATTATTATTCTTTAACAATTGTATGTTACATTTTTTTCAGGTTATTCCGAAGGATATTTGATTTAATGAGGAAATAATGTTTGTATTTCAGTTTTAGGTTTATTTCTAATTTGGATGATTGTAATTTAATGTTTTATTTGGATTGTAATATTTAAATTTGGAGAACATTATTATTAAATATTGGTGAAATTATGCACTTCATTTAATTACATGTATTTGTTGTTGTTGTTGTTTTTTAATTGTGTAATGAATAATAAAAATTGTAATAAATCAATGTTAAAAATTTAATTAATATATGGTCCTTGTAGTTAATTTTTAACAATTGATAAAGGTAAATGTCTGCCTATAAATATATTATTTTATTATAGTAAAGGTCATATTATTTTATTATTTTAGTGTTCCACATCTGCCTATAAATATAAGAGTATGTGTGTGTTTTATGTTCAGACAGTTGAGAAAGAATAACCTTCTAAGTTTTTTTTCTTAAGATACAAATATTGTAACAGTGATTTCGAAGAATGGCTTCATCAACAGTGTTTGCTCTTGTGTTTCAAGATGTTCAGATATTTGAAACTCAGTATGGTCTTGATTATATCATA